AGTCATGAGCATGAGTGCATGAACGATGAGGACATTGCTAGCGATCATTCAAAATACCTCTTGCTAGACTGTCTATAAATGGGAAATTATGAGGCATTTACTGACTTGTATTCAATGAAACAGGTGACATATGAGATATTTCCAGCAATGTTAGCAACGTACCAAATCGGGCTGAAATCGTGAAAACGTTTCGAACAGACAATAATTTCGAAATATTTTCCAACGTCAAAATGAGATCAGCCATCTCCTCCAGACGCAAACCATAACCATGAAAAATCTTATCATTCAATTGATGGGATGGAAGGATCTGGGTATTAGTCGCTAGTTGTCGTATTGGTCCTCATGGTAACTGTACAGCCGCCAATCAATAGAACTAACTTTACAAGACGCAGAAAAGTAACGATGACTGAAGAAATGTTAAGAAAGTCGTTAACAATCTATTGAAAGAAATACATGTTCATGGACGGAACACAGCCAGTTGGCGATGGATCAGTCTCTTCTTATTATGGCTGATTGTGCATGATACCACATGCATCACCACCTATTCGTCGTCGTTTCTGCATACATTTTACAATAGGGTATAGTATGGAAATACAATGTTGTGCATTGTGGCATCACAGATTTTATGCAATAAAACGAAATAATATTTCAACAAAGAAGGGAACAGAGCATCATTTAAAACTATAATTCATGCGTCGTCGTTGTTTTTGTTTATTGTTGACGTTACTGTGTTTGTGTTTGTTGCATAACCACCAACCATGATCATGTTCGTGTTCAGTACGAAAACCATATATGAATTATTTGTACATGTCGACGATGCATGTTAGAGCAAAATTTCATACAAAATTTCATCAAGCATCATTCACTATTGCTGTACAACGCAAAGCATGAACTAAATCAGCAGAATGGAAATAGGTCTAAAATTACAGTGAATAATTCCTTAATTTATATGCTGAATTATTTTGTTCTATATACAGTTGTTACAATCAGTCATTTAATTCTTAAAGGTGATGTTCAGTTGAGGACATTAAAAATTTTGAAAGTATTATACGGGAAAAAACGGAGGTTTTTGATATTCATGGGAACAGTTACTTTCGTGCATTCTATGTGGCTTGTTACCTTTCTTTTTTATAGCTCATCATTTGGGGTAGTTTAAGGAAACGAATTTTGCAATCATTTTCAACCACACTCATCGCTGCTGCAAGTGTATCTTGAATGAAGGAATATTCCATTAAGATAATCTCATTAAAATAGCCGGTGGAAGCAAATGATCATACAGAGAGCAAAATCTACGGATTCAGTGCCAGATCGTAGCGATCCATTTTACTTATAATCGAACGAGTCTATCGTTCCTGATTCGAGAGGCTTCATGAGACGGCTAATTGAATGTCGTGAAATTAACCTAAACCAGTTGAATTTCAGGTCGCATAGCGTACAGTACGCCGCAAATTGTTGAGCTAGAAAAGGAGTTCCGAACGAATCGCTACTTGAGTAAGAGCAGACGAAACGAACTGGCCAAAACGCTCTCGTTGACCGATCGACAAATCAAAGTTTGGTTTCAGAATCGAAGGATGAAGGAGAAGAAACGACTGACAAAGCGTTTCGACAACCATTCCACTTAACATCAGCCAATTCTTGTTAATATCGATAGTCAGCAGCTAATCTTCTGCATTCTAGTCATTGATAATAAGACAGTAACAGTAATAGTGATAATGGACTGGTATAGTGATAATGTTACCAAATAATGAATAAAATAGTAACGAAATTAAGAATAGTAAGAGTAACGGTAGAAGTTCTATTCAAGTGCTTGCTTGAGTAGCATTTATGACGTTTGTTTTGCGTGTCTATTTACATATAACAGTTTCTTATCTGTATCATCACTCTTATCAATGTTGTTGTCATGATCAAGCCGTGTTCAACCACGTATCATATCGATCAGTTTGTGAATGTGATCTAATTTGTTTACAATTGCTCATTGACAAGATGATAATGAATTTCACTCTGACATAATTGGTAATTGAAGAATTATGAGTTATCATACAGAGATGGCTCGTATTCCTTGCAGAATCGTACAAATCAGTGCCGTTTTACGAAAACGAATAGGAAAACTCTCTTTCTCCATCTCATTGGACACGTGGAGTTCCCAGTGCAAATTTGTTGAAGCATTAAGCAAGTTATGCTATAAAGCATTCTTTGAGAATCTTGTTGAGACCTCAGAATCAAAACATCAGTTTAGAATCTAGGGTGTTGCGGGGACGGGGAAAATCATAGGCGAAAATTTGCAATTGATTGCCTCGAAAATGCGGTCGACTCGAAAAAACTTACGGATGGGGACCGGGTCTACGAAACTCCCCGATCCCCGCTACACACTAGCAGAAACCAATTCATGCCATGTTACAGAACTGTATAATGCACAAAATTTTGTTATTTTTATCGTTATCATTATTATTTTTATTACTGTTATTATTATTATGGTTGTTATCATTACTGTTACTATGATTATTACTCATACTACTGCTTCATTAGCATTCACCTTATTCTCCACTGCCTTGATGATGACGATCTTACTCCTATATGTGACATATTTGAAAATGTATTTTCTTAATTTTTGGTGAAGATAAAATATTTCATTTGATAATCTTATATAATCCCTGCACTATGCGTGCTCAACTCATTTTCAGCATACTCTTTGCCATTAATCTGCTAATTCTAGCAAATGTCTTGAATTAAATCAAATTCAATGCATCACTTCAGATACGTTTAATTGTTACCGTTTAGTCACCGAAGCTGCTTTGATAACGGATATTGATAACGCTGTGAGCGTAGGTCAAGATCGTATTGACAGAGCAAAACAGAGAGAGTAGCCGAACTTAACAATGCTAGATGATAGTATGTAGAAAAGGGATAGATCCGAGTATTCGATCGGAGATTTTTATGTTTTAAACATCGC